ATGTGTTTTGGAGGAAACAGTTCAGGACATGGCAACCAGGAAACAGAGAACACTGCTCACCAGCAACAAAATATAAACCCCAAAGCATGCCCCTAGTGATCTACATTATCCAGCTATACTTGTCTACAGTTATCACCCAATTAATCTATATAAGTAGATCAATCCACTGATTAGGTTAAAGCTCTCATAATCTAATAATTTTACCTATGAACCTTTTTGCATTGTCTCACACATGATCTTTTAGGGGATACCTCATATCTAAACCATAACAAAGGGCATTTGAATGCTTGAAGAGCCTCAAACATCTCTAAAATTGGGGGATGACAGGTTGAAATAAACCAGGTCCTTTTATATACTTCTCCAGTACAGAAGTCTGTGAATACAATAAATATGTGTTATATAGCTGAGTTGTTGAATGCAGGTATGTTTTCTAATGGTAAGAATTTTTGGTAAAAACAAAAACAAAACAAAACAGAACATAAGGCTGCAGATCACTGGAGCAGTACTTCTATGGAAACCTAGGACCTTGAAGGATAGTTTGCTCTTTAAGGCTATTATGAACTTATCCTCCTCATGAGTGTCCTGGCTCTCAACTCCATAAAACCTGCAATAACTGCTGTTTTATGACCTACACCTGGTCATAACACAAAAGATTGATTGGGCTCCCATCCTACAAGGAGGGAAGACAGCACTTTCAAATATGTTGCTTCCCAATAGATTTTTCATGAGATGAGCCAAAAATGCTTCTTCAAGATTCATGAAGGAAAATATGGTCAGTGCCCAAGTCTGTAAATAATATACTCACTCTTTAAAGCTTATGCTCTGACCATTATGAGTTTGTGGAATTCTTATTAGAGCCAATAATGTATTAGAGGGATGGACTATGCTTTAAAAATTAGATTGAAATGTTATAGAAAAATAAACTGCCATCTTCATGTATTCTTCCATTTTCTTATCTCCTCTCCCCACTCTGTAACCACTTCAGGAAAGTTTCTGTTAAATCAGCCTGATATTTTCAAGACTATCATAAGCTGTTGACAGTTTTATGCAACTAATAGAGAAGATTAAAAAAGCAACTGTAACTTTCTATATTCTGAAATCCAAAGCAAAAAACAAAACAAAAACCCTCTTGTCCTCTTGTGTGGGAAATGTTAAAGGCTGCCTTGCTGGAAGGTGCTGGAAATATGATAGTAAAAAAAATGACTTCTATATATCTAAATGGCATTTGAAAGAACAAAAATCAGAGGCTGTTAATGTAGCTAGATGTTGGGATTCAGGTAATATGGCCTATAATTCATTCTGACTGACAGTTGTGAGGAGAAATTAGTGTAGGGCTGACCAAAATACCATTCCTTAAAAAAAAATCAGCTTTAAAGCTGATAACTCACACATCAACCTGATCTGTCCAAGGGGACTCCTTTCTAGCTAAATGCTGGATTAAATTTCGTATATCACATTTCTTAGGAGAGATTTAGTACTTTAATTATATTTTTTATGTGTCACAGAACTGTAAACATAAATTATCCTTTTGTGTTCTTTATCTTTAAAGGAGTGCTTAGAAAAATAATAATAAAGGTGCATGTGATTCTTCTTTGATTCTTTTCATTGTTTGTGTGGAAGGGACAATAGTTCTTTGTATTTGTGGTTGAGGAACCCTCTGGTCAAACCTCCAGGACATCTCAGCAATGACTGGAAATCTAAAAGTCATTCAATCAGCTATTTGTTTTGCCTACAGAGATAATGATCATTTTGACATTTTTCTTTTTCTTCCTGAAATGCTTTGAGCTGAGCATTTATTTCTATATCATATAGTTGCTGCTTAGCTACACCATGGGCTAGAGGAAAATGAATGGAAACATTTTCTTAATTTTTAAAATATTTTAATTAGAACATTGTAGCTCAAACCATCCCCTGCTAATCTTTTCAATCCAAATGTTGACATCAGTAGTGTTGGATGATAAAGGCAGAATTGATAATCTAATAGAAGTTTCCGAGCATTTATTTGGCTGTCAATACCTTGAGGAGTGGGGTGAGATATTTTACAAATCAATTGGCCATTTAAAATATCCTCTGATGATATCATGTCAACAGTTGTTTTTCCTACATGTTTACAGAGATACTAGTAATGTGTTTCTTGCTAGAAAGCTTTGCTACACAAAGACTAGTCTCTTCCCAGGCTGCATGTGGCTTGTAGAACATGCCAGCAATGCTTAATGTAATGGGTCACATCTGTCAAGGAGGATTACAAATTGTACCTGTGATGCTCTGTAATTAGTAACCCTCAAATGGCTCCAGCTGCTATTTCCCTGAGCATTTGCCTTGGTAACATCTTAGAGGAAATAAAACTCAGAATCATGAGGATTTAGGTCCAAAAGACACTAGTGAAATCTGAGTGTTTTCTCCTAATCTAAAAAGAAAATCTCTCTTTTCTTGTCACTCTCACCAACTTTACTAGAGGATCTTTCATCTGGAGACCAGTGAGAAATGTTTCAGCTTGTTGAGAGAGTTGGCTTTTGACATTGTTTTAGGGCAAAATTCTCCCATGAATCCCGTGAAAAGTAAATATGTCTGTTTTCTATGTGTTAGGGTGATTTGAGAATGAGTGCAAGCCTGTAACTGGAGACTTCACACTGGGAAGTTGACCTTTTGCTTGCAAAGGAGATTTGCTATTTGGTTGGCTCATGGGTACATCTGCAAATGATGGCATGCTGGGTTGTGTTTACAGATAAGAATCTATTACTTGCTGAGATCGAAGGCGCAGTATTGCAGTATGGAAAATGGAGGTTTAAAATATATTTCACTAATTTGAGTTTTTAGTATGCTATTTTTCTGAATTTAGTTGAGCAAGTCTCCAGCAAACTCCAACTCATAAATGGCTATCTAATAAGAATAAATTAAAACCATAATCTTATACCATTAAAATTAATGGGGTGATTTAAAATTAAAGTATGAAAATGAGAATATAAAGTAACAAAAAGAAAATGCAGGTATTTATATGTAAAATCTTATAGTAGCAATCTCTCTTTCTCTCTTTTACTGCTGCATAATCATTATAAGATTGGTATACATTGTGATCTTTTCATAGTGTACATAATATGATTTGGTCAATTTCATTCCTCACTACCTCCCCTTACTCTCCCCTGCAACTTCTCTATGTTTCCCTTCTTCTAATCTACTGCCCTCCTTCTATTTTCATGAGATATATTGTTCTTTTTTTTCTCTGTAGTCTGAGAAGACATATGACTCTTGACTTTGTGAGTCTAGCTTATTTCATTTAACATGATGTTCTCCAGTTCCATCCATTTTCCTGAAAATGATATAATTTCATTTTTCTTTATGGATGAATAAAACCCCATTGTGTAGATGTATACCACATTTTCTTTATCCATTCTGTTGACAAGACACCTAGGCTAGATCCGTAACTTGGATATTGTAAATTGTAGGGCTATAAACACAGATATGTGTGTGTCTCTATAGTATCCTGATTTTAATTCTTTTGAATAAATACTGAGCAGTGGTATAGATGGGTCATATGTGGTTCCATGCCTAGTCTTTTGAGGAACCTCCACACTGATTTTCATAGTAGTTGTACTAATTTACAGTCCCACCAACAGTGTATGAGTGTACTTTTACCCCACAGCCTTGTTAGCATTTATTATTTGTATTCTTGATGATTGTCATTATAACTGGAGTGAGATCAAATATCAATGTAGATTTGATTTTAATTTCTCTAATTTCTAGGGATGTTGAACATATTTTGATATATTTGTTGGTCCAGTTAAGGGGAAGTATTGGCAATGATCAATTTGCCTTTGGAGTTCTACCACCTCCTCCCCCCACCTCTCTTCTGGGGTTTGAGCAAAGAGAACTCTCTCTTAGCTATATTTCCAGCCCTTTTTGTTTTCTATTTTGAGACAGGGTCTCATGAAGTTGCCCAGGCTGGCCTCTGCTGAGAGCCATAGCCAAGTAGGAATGTTGCATGGCATTTTTGGTTGAAAGGTGACACCAGCAAGCTATTGAGATGATAATGGTTATGTTAAGATGTGCATTCAATTGGAGATTAGACCCCTGCTGTCTGCCTTGGCCTGCTACTTTGGAGCTCTTGTGGGACTCCTGGAGAATTCCCATTGGTTGGGGAAGTGCGGTAGGAGGGAATTCCAGAGGAGGGATTTCCTGTTGGTGTAGTGTGTCCCGGGAGACGGCCGCATGCGTGGCATTCGCGGGAATTTTGGAAATAAAGTTTGTTCCTGCTTGAGTGGCTCGTGATTTTGTGCCCAGCCAGACTGCGGCATTTGGTGGCCTGTACAGGGAGGAAAGACTGTAATGTCTGACCCTGGAAATTAACCCATCTGGGCTCCAGTTTGGCCCCAGTGAAAAGAGATTATGGTTTGACCACATCTTGACAAGGACACCGCAGGGGTTCTCCCTCTTCCCAACAAAGCCGCTGCTGCCGACAGAGCTGTACCTTTCTCCCGGGCCCCACAGGAGTGAGGACAGGCCACTTGCCTTGCACAGGTGGATTGCTCACAGCCCCACTCAAACCTGGAGCCAGGAAGAACTCACAGCAGTCTCTGCTGGTCTCACTCTTCTGGATGAGCCCAGGCCGGTCCATACCTTTCACGGTTAACATCATTCTTTACCTTTCTAATCATCACCATCACCATCACCATCATCATAATCTTGCAAGTCTTTGCCAGAATCTTTTCATCCAAACCACCTTTACAATCAGGTCTCCTCTCCAAACCACCTCTTGTTCCAATATCTTCCCACTTCCAAATAACTTCTAGCTTCCAGGTCACTTTTCAGGGGAGGTGGGCAAGTTACGAAAACACTCTCCCCACCCCACAGTTCTTTCCCTACCGCGCCTCACCCTCTCCCAGGGGTAGGTAGGCAAGGGTGGGGGAAGGGCCAGGGCTCATACCACAGTCTCCCCTTTGCTGCTGTGGCTGAGTCTGTGGTAGAAGCGGCGCCACGACTGCAGGGTCTTGCCCGACCAGATCCAGAAGTGGGTGGTGATGCCCATGATCATGGTCATCAGATATTTGATCATGAAGACGGTGAAATCGGGGCTCATGGGCGGGAAGTGGTTATTATGTATGTTTCTGGTCCTTGGAGCTACTGTTGTTCAGGCTCATGTTGGGCATGAAGATGATATGATTGATATTGAGGATGACCTGGATGATGTCATTGAAGAGGTAGAAGACTCAATATCAGATACCAGTATGCCTCCATCTCCAAAGGTCACCTACAAAGCTCCAGTTCCAACAGGAGAAGTTTATTTTGCTGATTCCTTTGACAGAGGCACTCTGTCAGGGTGGATTTTATCCAAAGCCAAGAAAGATGACACTGATGATGAAATTGCCAAATATGATGGAAAGTGGGAGGTAGATGAAATGAAGGAAACAAAGCTTCCAGGTGATAAAGGACTTGTATCGATGTCTCGAGCCAAGCACCACGCCATCTCTGCTAAATTGAACAAACCCTTCCTATTTGATACCAAGCCTCTCATTGTTCAGTATGAGGTTAATTTCCAAAATGGAATAGAATGTGGAGGTGCTTATGTGAAACTGCTTTCCAAAACTCCTGCGAATGCTACGCGTGCGGCCTTCTCCCGGGAAACACTACACCAACAGGAAATCCCTCCTCTGGAATTCCCTCCTACCGCACTTCCCCAACCAATGGGAACTCTCCGGGAGTCCCACAAGAGCTCCAAAGTAGCAGGCCAAGGTGGACAGCAGGGGTCTAATCTCCAATTGAATGCACATGTTAGCATAATCATTATCATCTCAATGGCTTGCTGGTGTCACCTTTCAACCAAAAATGCCATGCGTCATTCCTACTTGGCTATGGCTCTCAGCAGGCCTCCAGTTTGTGATCCTCCTGACTTTGTCTCCCTCTGGAGTATCTGGGATTCACAGGCATATGCTACCATGCCCAGCTGCATCTTTTTTTCCTTTTAAGTTATAATGTCCTAGAGATTTCCAGAGTCCTCAGAGTTTTTACTCACTCAACTATTCAATCATTCATCTATCCAACAAATATTTGTTGCATATATACCATGTGCCAAGCTTGATCATCCCCAACACCCCATTCTGGAAATATTTCCTAGTTGTCTCTTATCCATAATTATCAGTCTGGGGAAACTTTCCCTCAGACTCTGTTAGGTGATTGACAAGGGCATCTTTCTAACAAGTGCTCTCTGTTAAATAGGTGATAATAATATGGTACTTGAACTTTAAGGGAACCTTCAATATCTGCAATGTAAACATTGCAGATGATTTTATAGGGATATACCCTTCAGAATATGCCACTCTCCCATGTCTACACTTGTTCAAACTGGACGGCAAGCTTCCAATTGTGCTCCTCCCTGTAGTGCCTTGGCTCCCTATTTTATAATTAGTTTACTGGTCTGATTTCCATTAACAAGCATGCTTCTGGATGTTAATAATGCATATCAGTTCTATATTTTAGGTCCTGACCTTCCCCCTCCTGTGCTCTTCTACTTCCTGCCATCTGTCCTACTCTGCCTTCTTGTATTTACATCCTTGTAGTCTGTGATCTGCCACCTTGACTCTAGCTTCCACACTTGTTCTGATCCAAACATCTGCTCAACTTTACTTAGAACCTATATAGTTTTCTACCACTACTGTAACAAATTCCCACAAACAAAGAAGCTTAACACAACATCAATTTATCTTATAGTTCTAGAGATCAGAAGTCTAGAATGAGTTTCACTGAGTTAAAGTCAAGGTGCTGATAGGGCTGCATTTTTTTTTTCTTCAGGGCTTAGGGGAGAATCTGTTTCCTTGCTGCTTTCAACTTCATTGGTTGCTTGAAGTCCCCTTCCTCCAACTTCAAACAACATTGCATCTATCTGACAGTTTTTCCATAGTCTCATCTCCCTCTGATCATAGCCACAAAAGGTATCTCCACTTTTAACAACTTTTAGTGGGTTGAATTGTGGTCACTCAAAAGATATGTCCACATTCTAATCCTCAGAACCCGTGAATTTAGCATTGTTCACAAAGTTTATATGTAGATGTGATTATGGACCTTAATATGAGAAGATCATTTTGAATTATCTGAATGGGCTCTCAGTCCAGTGACAACTGTCTTTATAAGGGCAGATGGAAATTTAAGATAGGAAAGGAAGAAGAAAACACAGAGGAGAAAATGTGATCCTAGAGACAGATTGGAGTAATGCAGCTATAATTCAAGGGATACTTGGAGCCACCGGAAGCTGAAAAAGGCAGAGAAGGAGTCTCCCCAGAGCCCTGAGAGGGAATGCAATCCTGATCATCCTTGATTTTAGACCAGTAGTATCCAGAATGTGAAAGAATAAATTCCTGTTGTTTTAAGCTACCTAGTATGTAGTAATTTGTTATTGCAGCATCAGAAAGTTAATATAGGACTCATGTGATTACAGAGTCCTCCCAGATAATCTAGAATAATTTCCCTACCTCAAATTCCATAACCATGATCATATCTACAAAATACCTTTTATTATTATGTAAGATGTATTCATGTGTTCCAGGAATTAGGATGTGAACACACTTAGGCAGCCATTATTTTGCCTACCACAGTACACAAGTAGACTGTTTACCCATAAAACCGTGTATTGCCCATGCCTTCCAAAAGCACAGCCAACTATCTTTTATATGTGGCTTCCATTCCTACTTCCTTTTCTAGGATCTGTTTCTTGGATGTCAGTTTTCCAAAACAGAAAGCACACAAATGTGGAGTCAGGCAGATCTGTGTTTAATTTCTGCTTCTTAATTTATTCTCTGCATATCCTTGATCAATTTATTTAATTTCTATAAGTTTGCTCCCTCATCTGTAAGATGTGGGTAGTAATATGCACTCCACAGAGACATTGTGAGGATTAAGGGAGATAGTAGATATAATATGACTAAAACATAGTAAGCATTCAATGCATGTTGCATTTCTTTTCCTATCATCCTATAGTCTATAAACATGTGATGATCTATAATCTTGAAGTAAAATGGTCTAGTAGAGGAGATATTTTGTTTAGGAAGTTTCTCATTTTTCTTTAAATCTCTCTTGGTAGATAGTTTTCTTTTTATATCCCCCCATATATATTAAGGGGAGGTTGATTAATAAAATTTATACATAAGGGCTAGGAATGTAGCTCAGTAGTAGAGTACTTCCCTAGCATGTGCAAGTCCCTGGATTTGATCCTCAATTCCACAAACTATAAAATAGCCTTCTAATATTATTTTTTCCTGATGCCGTGGCATTTTTAAAAATTTCATGATTAGGTGTACATGACATTATATTTCCTGGTTGAGAAAGGAAAAGTGGAAAGTCCTACCAAATTGGTTGCTGGGCATAATAAAGTATAATAAAAAATAAACAGATGTTTATTATGCAGCTACCATCTGTTAAGTTTTATAGAGACTATGGAAGGAGATTGACACAGTACCTATTTATTGAGTGGGGAAAACTGACTAGGAACTAGCTGATGCTAGTATAGTATGATTTGTGCCATGATGAGCACAAAAGTGGGAGGGGCTTGGGAACAGTACAGAAGGGGAAAAGGCTCTCTGCAGCAAGTGAAGTCTAAGTTGGTATCTGAAGGTGAATAGACAGTAGTTATGTAAGTCTCTTACAATTCTCAAAAAGGAAAAGGAGAAAATGAAAAAATAATTTGCTTAAACATGAATTTTAGTTAAAAATTCTATGTATATAAACATAGCCATTCTTGTTTGTCCTTTAAAAATGTTTGGATATAGTTGCACTACTGAGATTGAAATAAATGGTCCATTGATAGACTTCTTTCAGGTCACTTGGAGAAAAAAAGGGCATTTATTACATTTTATTTTGCACACATGGCCCCAGTGGGCAGGCAGGCAGTTAGTCAAGATGTAAGTGCTATACTATAAATGCCTGCTATGGTTTAGATATGAAGTGTCCCCCAGAAGCTCATGTGTGAGACAATTTAAGAAAGTTTAGAGGTGAAATTTTGGGTTATGAGAGCCATAATCTAATGAGTGCATTAATGCTGTTCAATGGATTAACTGGGTGGTAACCGTAAGCAGGTAGGATATAGCTTTAGGAGATAGATCATTGTGGGCATGGCTTTGGGGTATTACTTTGTCCCTGGTCAGGAGTCTCTCTCTGCTTCCTAATGGTCATGTCCTGAGCTGCTTTCTTCCTTCACAACTTTCTGCCATGATGTTCTGCTATCTTGGGCCCAGAGCAATGGAGTCAGCTATGAACTGAGACCTTTGAAACTGTGAACCCCACATAAACTTTTCCTCATCTAAAATTGTTCTTGTCAAGTCTTTTGGTCATAGAACAAAAAAAGCTGACTAAAACAATGTCTTTAAATACAAAGCCCTGATTTAGGGAAGAGGGCAGATGTAGACAGGATTGTGGTTATAATAGAATGCCAGGGGTAGGGTCAAATACTATTTGCTCTCTAGAAATAATAATAGCAACCAGGATATGTTGTGCATTTATTTATGTGCAATGTACTGTTTAAGATACTTTTTGGTATATATGGAATAATTCCAAAGGTCAATTTTCAGTTCTCATTTTACTTGATCTTTTATCACAATTTTGCATAGCAGATCATGCTGCTGTCCTCTGGGATATCACTCCTAGTTCGTTCTCTCTCTCTCTCTCTCTCTCTCTCTCTCTCTACTATGTACCAGTAATGTTGTATATAAATCTAATTCAGTACTCAAAACAATGTGTCTGTGGGTAGGTAATACTACTATCCTCATTTTATATATAGAAAAACTGAAGTACAGAGGTGAAAAAGCATTGTCTAAATTTAGATAGTTACCAAGTGATGGAGCCAGGATCCATATGAAGACAATTGGTCTTGAAAGCTTGTGCTCTTAATCCTTAAAGTAGTTGTTCCCAGACTTCCTTAAGGAAAGAGAGTTTTGTGGGAATGTAGACAGAGAAATGACACTTGAGAACAAATAAACCAAATTTCAACATGATCATATGTCCATATACCCATTACATGCCAAGAGACTAGTTGAGTTAGTAGTTACTGAACCCAGATTTGGTATAGGGATAGTCAAGATTGTTGAAAGAAAAAGAAATCTTAAGCAGAGTTAAGAGAGGAACGTAACTGCAACTATTACTAGCTAACATTTTTGACCTCCTACTATGTACCAGTAATGTTGTATATAAATCTATTTCCATACTCAAAACAACCTATCCAGTAGGTACCATTATACAGTCATCTGCTAGTATCTGTGAGGGATTTGTTCTGGGACACCCTGCTTCCTATGGATGCCAAAATGTATACATGCTCAAGTCCCCAATATAAAATGGTGTAATATTTGCACATTACCTTGGCACATCCTCCTGTTTAATTTAAATCATCTGTACATTACTTATTATATCTTAATACAATGCAATGCAATGTAAATAGTTATTATACTATGTTTAGGAAATATTGACAAGAAAAAAGGCTGTACATAGTCAATACAGACACAGTTTAAAAAAACCTTTTTTAGTATAGTGGGTTGGATCTATGAAGTGGGAGCCAGGTTTTGAACAAAGGCATTCTGACTTTCTTAAATATATTGAATTGCTCCAGTGACTCTCTGTCTTTCTGATGTTAACAATCTTTTCCTCTTTGCTAAATTATTCCCATAAGCCTTCAAACATATTGCAATCATTTACATTATTTAAAAAATTTTTTTTAGTTGTCAATGGACTTTTATTTTGTTTATTTTTATGTGGTGCTGAGAATTGAACCCACTGCCTCACACATGCCAGGCAAGTGCTCTACCACTGAGCCACAACCCCAGCCCTCATTTGCATTATGTTTAAAATCAATTTTTTTCTGTCACTCTTTACAGCAAAAACTGCTGGAAAGAATTGTCTAAACTTACTGTCTCCATTTGCTCTCCTTACATTCTTTCTTGAACCCACTCTAGTCAGACTTTCACCCCTGTGCCTTCACTGACCTTTCTCTTGTCAACATCACCACTGACCTCATCATTGCTAAATGCAAAGGTCAATTCTCAGTTCTCATTTTACTTGATCTTTTATCACAATTTTGTATAACAGACCATGCTCCTGTCCTCTGGGATATCACTCCCAGTTTTCTTTCTCTCTCTATGAATTCTCCAGTTTCCTTTTACTAATTCTTCTTCATAATTCCAAATTCTTTATGTCAAAATCCTAGAATGTTTCTCACTTCTATTCACAATCACTTCCTCAATTATATTGTCTTGTGACATTAAATATC